ACTGCCCAGGGTGTAGGTGCTCTCTGACTGCCCAGGGTGTAGGTGCTCTCTGACTGCCCAGGGTGTAGGTGCTGTCTGACTGCCCAGGGTGTAGGTGCTCTCCGACTGCCCAGGATGTAGGTGCTCTCTGACGGCCCAGGTTGTTGGTGCTCTCTGACAGACTGGCCTACTGGCCAGGGTGTACCCCAGCCTTATGCCTTCTCCTGCCTGGGGTGGGCCTTAGGCCCCCGTGGATTTCATTAACGTAGTTTCTCTGCCAAAACTCTGATGGTGTGTTTTTATACAATCTGACAAAAGGACGTGAGACTGAACAGCATCTCCTCTCATTCTCAGCTCTGAGCCCAGCCGAGCACATCTCTGTGGAATACAGCTGTGTCAGCAGAAGTGTAATGGTGACATGGAATTCAGTGTATGGTGCCGACTCATACAAGGCGCTGGCCATTGACAGCCGTCATACAGTCCTGTCCTGCACGTCCCTTTCGCCAAGCTGCCAGATCACTGGCACTCTCTGCAGCCAGCGCTACACGGTGCATGTCATCGCTATGTCAAAAACCTGCGAGAGCACGACCAACTCCAGCAGTTATTTTGAGACAGGTGCGGCCGCTCTTGTGTTAACTTCATCCACATTGTTGTTTTCCACTGACCTTTTCTATTTAGACATTTCATCTAAAAAATATCCCATCGGGGGTTTAGAATTCTGTCCTTCCAAGTAGCGTTTGTCTTAATTTCTCTGACATCTCTAGAGATATCTAAGCCTCTTCAGCGTGTTCTAGTCTCTGTGGAGACAGAAAGGCGACACCAATGGAAACCTGTCTCAGATGTTTTCGTTCCCCCCTCTGCCATCTTAGTGCCGTGCTCCCCCACCAACGTGGAGGTCTTCCGTGAGTGTTTCAGCAACGTGATCATATTCTCCTGGGGGGCCACCAGCAACTCCCTCTACTACAGGGCCACCGCGGTGGACTCAGAAGGCGAGCGAACGGACTGCTTGACCAGGGAGACGTCCTGCTATTTCACCAACACCAAGTGTGGCCGCAGATACCGATTCACTGTGTTCGCCATGAGCGGGGAATGCAACAGCAGTGCTAGCCTTCCCGCCCACATCCGAACAGGTAGGGGTGGAAATGAAGTACAAAGATGGTTTCAGTAAGGAAACAGGTAAAGAAGTACAAAGATGCAGAGGCATTAGCATTAGCTCCACTGATGTGTCTGATCTCCTCCCAGCCCCCTGCCAGCCACGGAACGTGAAGACGAGGTCGGAATGCCACTCGGACGTCCTGATCAGCCAATGGGACGCAGCCGCCGGGGCTAAGATGTACATGGTGGAGATGATGGGGAACTCCCACAACCTGTACAACTGTAGCTCCATCACTAACAGCTGTGCCACCCCGGGTGTGCAGTGTGGCGAGAGCCTGACAGTATGGATCACTACCTCGGACGATGAGTGCTCCAGTGAGAAGGCCCTCGGGGAAGTGGCCGAGACCGGTAAGGGCTCCTGACACACCTCTCTGATGCTGGTCGTGGCCTGTACAGGTTAGGCGTGGATTGGTCTCTTATGGACTAGTTAAAAAAGAGCTGATTTGTCTAACGGTGAAAGCAATTGCTGATATATATATATTTTTCTTTTGGTGCTTTTCAGTGCCCTGCGTTCCTCAGAATGTATCTACTGATTTAGACTGCGCCACCAACGATCTCACAGTGCGCTGGGAGTACAGCCACGGTGCGGACTTCTACATCGCATCGGCTGTGCGGCCGGATGGTGCCGTCCACCTCTGCCAGACAGCGGATACCAGCTGTGTGATCCGTGGCCTCTCCTGTGGGCAGAGCTACACTGTTTATGTTGTGGCTTCCAACTTTAAGTGCAACAGCTCTGAGAGTGTACGGGTCATCAGAGAAACCGGTATGCTGGTGCTCAGGCACACATGGAGGAAAAATGTGATGTGGGACAGTATTCAGTTTTACAGACATGGGTAGTGGTAGGGGCTGATACAATACTCTCTACATGAAACCTATGCAATTATTAGAGGTGCAGCGATCCAACTTTTTCAGTGCCAATACGACCCCGATACCTGAACAGAGGGTATCGGCCGATATAAGTACTGATCTGATACCAGTTCACTTTGAATATCTTCCAAGCGAGAACACACAAGAGGAGAATGCTTAAAATGCCCCGTAATGCTTCTCCAGCTAGCGCTTCATTGCAATAGCAGCCTGTCGTGTATCACAAGCTGTAGCGAGTGTGCAAAACTGCCCAAGCTAGCAACGCACAAATCATACATTGCTTTTTTCATATCACTCGCGTTGTGTCACAATTGCGTGCACTTTGTTTAGCGGGATTTTCCACTACATGCCACTTCTACCTCTCATAACTTTGTCTTTACAAAGATTGCAAATTGCTGTGCTACTAGTTATTGTTTAAAGCGTAAAATGCTTCCAGATCGTCATGCTCCTATGTGCTTATGCTTCTCATACTTAAATGGGAATGCGCATGATGTCACAGCAGGCAGAAGTCACTGCACTCCCATTGAGTGGCAAAAAAACTGAGTGGCAGCTTTGGGAAAGAGCTGGTGTGATTGTACAAGTTGATTTAACAAGAAATTGGAGCTTTTGACTGACTGCTGAAAATTAAATAATTAAGTATCGGATGTGGATTGGTCACGTATGGTCGATACCTGATCTGTCTAATAGGTATGGATCGGTGCCAATATCGATCTCAAATATCAGATCGGTACACCTCTAGCAATTATATGAGTTTCTTGAGAGGATGGCACTGGTGGTGGAAATCTTATTTGTGACTGATTGAAACAACTGCTTATGTTAATTTAAACAACGCAGTCATTTACCAGTCACACTCACTTTATTCCATGTCATGTTCCTAAGAATTTTTTGACTTCTCAGCGAATAGGCTAAAGCCAATGAAAATTATCATTCCTCAAACTAAAATGACCATTCCACACATTCCTAGAAATTCAATTCTGTCCTCCAAACCTTGCAGCTAACTGCCCTCCAGAGCAAGTCCAGGCCACTTTAGATTGCTCGGAGAACCACGCGTTGGTCGTGTGGCAGACCTGGCAGAGCAAGGCTTCGTGCACAGCCTCCATGGAGGACCAGGTGGGAGGGCTGCTAAGCTGCAGTACCACGGGCAGCGGCTGCAAGGTCTCGGGCCTCAAGTGTGGCCAGAAGTACAAGGTCTGGGTGGCACAGCACAGTGGGACGTGTCCGGCCGCACATTCCAAATCCATCTACTTTGACTCTGGTATTTACTTTCGTTTTTTTCCCCCCATCATTCCTTTTTCCTTAACTTTTGAATATCTGAGTCCCTCTTCTTGAGACTGTCATCTCAAGCTATTTCCTCTCGGCTATCTAGTCCCCTGTGGCCCAGAGGACGTGTCAACCCAGCTGAACTGTGGCAATGGGACACTGGGCGTGAGCTGGGCCACCTCAGCCCATGTGGACGGGTATGTCGCCATTATGTTGGCGGGGAGTGGGGAAAGGACATACTGCAACACCACAGAAACTCGCTGCACCTTCGACGGCCTGGAGTGCGGAGAGTCTTACACTGTGGTGGTGATGTCAAACAACGGCAGCTGCTTGAGTCTTCCAAGCAGGGATTTGACCATCCAGGAAGGTACAGTAGCAAAGTTGCTTTGTAGTCATGGATGTTTACACACCTTCTGTTTTTTCCTCTTCGCTTCAGGCCAAGGGTTTTTTTCTTTGTCTTTATTTTTCTAACAGTATTATAGTAAGACAGTGGGAACAAGTCAAAAAAACATGCAAAGCGGCCAAATAGGACAGTCAGAGCCAGATCAAAGATCTAACATGACCAAAACACCAAGATGTATTCATTTACACAAAGAAGCCTTGATTAATAGGTGACACGCAGATTGTTTCTGGTGTTGCTGTCATTGTGGGAATCCAGGGTGTGGTGCCTACATTTGTCAGCCATTTGGGGTATATGGATGGTAAATAGGAGCAAAGATACATTCTCTTTCTGGAAAGGAATAGATGGTTTTGTGGTTACAAATTGAGAAGAGCCTGTATAACCTACAGCCCCTGAAAACTAGGCTGGTGAAGGTCTGTGCTGTGTGCCCCTCAGTACCCTGCGTGCCGACCGAGGTGGCAGCCAGTCACAACTGTGAGGGGAACTTGGCCAATGTCATGTGGACACCAACCCCAGGGGCCCAACACTACAGGGCTATTGCACGGAGCAATGGTGGGGCCCATTCTGAATGCGTCTCCAGTGAGCTGGCCTGCAACTTCAATGACCTGCAGTGTGGCCGGGTCTACACCATAGGGGTGGTGGCACTGAGCGGAGACTGCACCAGCTTGGAGAGCAAGAATGCAGTACTCCAGACAGGTATGGTGCTGCTTTGAAACCATAATGGTATTACTGTTGAGGGGACTTGATATATAGCCACAGAGTCATTTGGAGTACAAAATGTTTTCATCCTGGTGTATATCACTTATGGGCTAACTTTCTCTTTCCTAAGGATGAGTCATGTAAACTGTACAAACATATAAGTTTTAAAAAGACTTGCTCTTGCTAAACAATATCTGGGTGATGCCTTCTCATGCACAAGTGACATTCCCATTTTTTTCCCTAAAAAATTGAGCCTTCTCCTTCTTCAATAGCAAGGACTTCAGTCAATAAAAGTTTGAACTCTGGCAGAGAACCTCTCGCTTTATTTGTTCCTTCAGCCCCATGCACTCCGTCTAATGTGGTGGTCCAGACTAACTGCTCGAGTGACAGGGCTTTTGTGTCCTGGGGCGCCATTGCAAATGCGGTGTCCTATTTGGCGACGGCGGGGGGTGTGGATGGGCACACCGTGTCCTGTGAAAACAGCGAGCCTGGCTGCTGGATCGAAGGTCTCTACTGTAGCCAGGAGTACAACTTTACGGTCTCGTCGGACGACGGCACCTGCCAGAGCCTGAGCAGCGAGCCAGTGCAGCAGGAAACGGGTAAACGACTCCGTATGGAAACTCATGTTACTGTGTTTTGTTGTACCCTGGGGTTTGCTGTTTTTATTCTTCAAATAGGTGATAAAAAAATGCAAAACAGACTTGTATTGCATATCGTTTGACCCTCTTTCCCATCAGCTCCATGTGTGCCGCGGGACACAGAGAGTCACATCGACTGCAGTACCAGTGCTTTGACTGTCAGCTGGGACTCCCGTAGTGAACTACTGCTGAACTATAGTGTAATCGTATTGGCTGAGGACACAAACACATATTCTTGCACCACCTGGGATGCAACCTGCAAAGTCGAGGGGCTGCAATGTGGCCAGCAGTACCGTGTCTACATGGCGGCTAGCAGGGGCAACTGCAGCAGCATGACGACAGTGCCGGAAATCGTTCACACAGGTATGTTTCATGCTTCCCCGGCTGGCAAACTGATACCATTGTTATTACACTCCAGGCTCATTGCATCCTTGTGCTGGATGAGAGGATAGATGGTCTCAAGTAAATTGAGTGTTGATAATGGATCGATCTTCTTGCCTCTGCATTGGCAGCACCATGTGTCTCACAGACCGTGAAAGGGGCTGTGATGTGTGGCACAAATACCCTGGTAATATCATGGGACAGCTCTTCTGGGGCCACAGCCTACACTGCTACTGTGACCAGTTCAAGTGGTGACCCAAGCAAGTTCTGCTCCACCTCAGAACTCACCTGCATGTTGGACGACCTGAGATGCACCCAGCAGTACACTGCCACTGTGGTTGCCCAGGGCAAACAGTGCAACAGCACAGCTAGCTCTGCCGTCTCAGTGGTGACAGGTAGGAGGTGCCCTATGTTGGATAACTACATGGTCCCAGCAGCTTCCCTGTCTGTGACTTGTGTCCCTGCTCCCTGTGTCACCTATGCCCACAGGACCTTGTGAACCTGAAGGTATGGCGACCCAGCTGGACTGTGATGACAATGCAGTGCTGGTTTCCTGGAACGCCAGCCCAGGAGCCCTGGAGTACACAGTGCTGGCAAAGGGCAGGAAGGGTGACCTTTCCTCTTGCTACACCATGGAAACCACCTGCCTGTTGACTCGGCTCGCCTGCGGTCAGATATACAACATCACAGTGTTGGCTGGCGATGGGAATTGTAACAGCAGCTCTCTGGCTTACAGAACCGTGGAGACAGGTATAAAGCCCACTGACCCCCTAAGATGGCGTGCAGCTTCTTCCCCGATGGTTGGAAAAGAACAATGGAGGTCTTCTTGCACCTCATGCCATTTTTCGTCTTACAGCTCCATGCGCCCCTGTCATGATTAGCCACAGCCTAGTCTGTGAAACGAACATGGCGACTGTCTCATGGAGAAAGGAAGATGTTGCTGTGGGTTATGTCCTCAATGCCACCTCAGTCATGGGCCACAGGAAAGGGTGCAATGCCAATGGAACTTTCTGTGACCTGCCTGAGCTGCAGTGTGGCAAAATGTACATGGTACAAGGCATGTCCCTGGGGAAGGAGTGCAATAGTGAACCAAGCTCCGAGCTCACTATTGTCACAGGTATATCTCTGGTATGGATGGAGGGCTGTGTTTACGGCATACAAAAGACTCTAGATCAGGGGTGGGCAATCTTATCCAGAAAAGGCCGTTGGGTATGAGGGTTTTCGCTGCAACTCCCTAATTACTAATTAGAGGACTTATTGGCTGAAGAGTCCTCACCCCTAGGTTTGAACAGCTGATCTAAAGGTAATCCCAAAAAACCTGCAAACACACTGGCCTATTGCAGATAAGGTTGCCCACCCCTGCTCTAGATCACTGCCATTACTCATCATGCTAATCCTGTTGGGCACAGCATCGATATGCTGTGATTGTCTCTTGGCGTCACATGATTTTTCTGAATCTTTGTCTATCTCCAGCTCCCTGTCCCCCTGTCATGGTAAAGTCCACCTACTACTGCAGCAGCAACATCGCCCTCATCAGCTGGGATGAGAGCCTGGGCCGAGAAAGCTTCTTAGTGCACGTGATGGGAGGCAGGGAGGTGTACACTCAGAACACGATGGAGACCACGAGCACCTTCACTGGCCTGGAGTGCCAGCAGAAGTACAATGTCACCGTTAGAGCGGTGGCCAGACATTGCAACAGCAGCCAGATGGCTTCAACGGAATTCCACACAGGTATAACGTTTTCTGAAAAGCTCCTCATAAGGGTGCCTCAGCTCCTGCTAATGGCCGCCTCTCCCACAGCTCCCTGTGCACCACAGAATGTGAGTGTGATCCTGCTGTGTGCTGACAACACGGCAGAGGTGACCTGGCAAGCCAGTCCTGGTGCGGCATCCTACAACGTGACTGCCCTGGCAAGGGACGGCGACAGCAAGAGTTGCTTTACCACGCAGACACTCTGCCAACTGCCCAGAATGCATTGCGGACAGATGTACATCATCACAGTGGTGCCCAACTCAGACACCTGCTTCGGATTCTTCAGCACTGCCGTCACCTATATAGCAGGTATCTGTATCGTAGGATCATGCTGTTCGAACATTCACCACAGGTACTGTGAACCACTGGAGATAACTAAGGAAGAATTTAAGGTGGCTTCAAACAAGCCTGTTGCCCTGGGACCAGGTGTAAGTGGAAGCAGAAAGGCCTTTCCTGCTACAATGTTTCTTATCCTCTTCTAGCTGTCAAACAACATCTCTGTAGGCATCTCTCGCACATGTCTCATACTCTATTCCTCAGGCAGATGTTTCCCTACATGCTTTCTTTAACACTACACGTGCTTGTCAATGAGCAAGGAGAAAGGGAATCTGAGGGACGTAACTATCTCAGTATAGATGCAATACAGATGTAACCCTGCTGTGATGCTGCAGGAATGTTTTGGTTTGTCAAGGCATCACTTATAAACTACTAAGTCTGGCTAGGATGATATCTGCATTTTGGAGTTTCACTCTTTACGGAGAACTTCAAGAACAGTGGCCCTGATTGGAAGACAGGAAGACAGGATTGCTGCAACATTGAGTAATTACCCAAATTTCCTAAAACTACTCCTGGGGTCAGCATTGTAATCCTTTGATTGAAGAATCATGGATTGAGCGAAGCAAGATTCATTTGTCTTTCTCTGGAAAGGTCCTTGTCCTCCTAACAACATATCAGTGGCACTCACATGTGAAGGCAACCTTGGATATGTGACATGGGATCCTGTGATGGCAGCAGAGATGTACACAGCCACTGCCACGACCACAGACGGCCATGTGCAGACTTGTAAGACCAACACCACCAGCTGCTCCTTCCTCAGCTTACACTGTGGCGAGGTCTATTTAGTCACTGTGGTGACTCTTGAGAGAGGCTGTCAAAGTGAGCCAAGTCCCAGGAAGAACTTCAGGACAGGTTTGTTTTCTAGTTACATTTCATAAGGCTGTAATATTCATGTGAGACCAAAAGTTCTGATTCAAAGTCCGATTTCTTTGTTACTCTTTTAGCCATCTGCCCTCCCAGCAACCTGAGAGGACAAGTTATGTGTGTGACCCATGGCCTGATGGTCACATGGGACCAGAGTCCCAGAGATGATGTGACATACTTCCTGAATTACCAGACAGAGGATGGTGCCATCACCACCCACGTAACCTCCAGCATCTCCTACCAGCACACGGGCCTGTGCGGAGAGCGTTATTTCTTTAAAGTACTGGCACAGGACGATACGTGCAACAGTAGCTGGACTCAGTCCCTCAAAATGGACACAGGTGCCTTCCCATTGCCACCACGCTCTCCGCAAAGTCTGTCTTAAATGTGAACGTTACTGCTCTGAAATGTGACCTCGCATTCTTATCCACTCAGCTCCTTGCCCGCCTTCCAGTTTGAAGGCCCAGGTAGACTGTGGCACCAACAGAGGGAGGGTCTCCTGGGTGCAGAGCACAGGTGCATTAGTCTACACTGCTGTGATCACGGGAGCCCATGGGCATAGCACTTCCTGCTCCTCCAACTCTACAACGTGCGGCATGAGGTTGGACTGCGGCCGCCGGTACACCACCATGGTGTTCTCCTCCAACGAAGCATGTAACAGCACAATGGATGCTACTGTCGAGTTTGTTTCAGGTAGCGTCTTGGTACTGTGAATTCAGAATGTTGTTATAGGCAGGGATGCACATAACTGGTATGCAAGTACACATTCGCTATATAAAGCGATACCCCTGGCAACTTCTTATCGTAACTTATTTTATGTGCAATTGCACTACTGTAAAAAAAATAGTGTGCATTTTAACCTTTATATGGCTAATTTGTACTTAAATTGGGGTACAAAGGTTAAAATGCACAGTCATTTATTGTAGCAGAGTGCATACACATAAAATAAGTACACATCAGTCATGTTACCACAAGAAATTGCCCCACGTATCGCTATATAAGGCAATTGTGTATCAATTATGTGCATCCCTGTTTATAGGGCTGTTATATGTTATGTCCTAAATTACAGGAACCTAGAACCCTTTCAGATTCATGAGGGCCTTTGTATTATTCCTATATTTTAAAATGCTACATCAGAATACAGTATTATGTTTAACCTTACAATATAATTAATGATAGATTACAGACAATTTGCCTCCTGCGTGATAGCCTATGTACTAGAAGTGAATAAATCAACAACATCAACATTTATCAACAACTAACAAATAAGTGATAATTGTTTGCTTGGATAAGATAAACATTTCAGCTGAAATGGATTTCCCCCATTAGCAGTTACGTTACTGACCTTGTTATCACACAAGGCACGGTCTGCATACATGTAGACATATTCAGACATCATCTCCCTCTCTATATCCAGCCCCATGCCTACCAGGAAACATCAGAACCAAGACAGACTGTGATGCTAATGAATTTGCAGTACAATGGGAGATGACCCCAGGGCCTAATCTATACACGGCCCTAGCTATTGGTGGCAATGGGCACCGTGCCACCTGTGAGACCACTGAGACATTCTGCACCATCCAGAACTTGCAGTGTGGCCAGACCTACAGCATTGTCATCACTACTGCCTCCGCCAAATGCAACATGATACAAGACTCCAACCACAAGGTCAAATCGGGTACAGCTGCCATACAGAGAACGACCTGCCACTTCGCTTCTGGGTTTGGGCCATTAATAAGGCAAATGCTGATGCTATGTTCCCTTCCCCCACTCAGCACCTTGCAGGCCCACAAACCCTACAGTGGACCTAAACTGCAGTACCAATGTGGGCATCATGTCCTGGGATTACATACAGGTGACACAGATGTACCAAGTGAAGGCGGTGGACAGTCGGGGCGAGAGCACCACATGCAACACCACAGGTGCCAACTGCACCTTCTTGCAGCTCGACTGCGGGGAAAGGTACATCTTCAGCGTGGTGGGCTTCACTGATCAGTGCGAGAGTGCTGTCAGCAGCACTGTGGATCTTCTCACAGGTGAGGTCCCACTGATCGAGATATTAAGTTTAATCATGCTGGAACTGTTTAAGTCATAGAGAACCTACCCTTCATCACCATCCACCAATATCTCCATCTTAAAAAAAGTGTCTCTGCTTCTCAGTACCTTGGTTTGGCCACATGTCCCCTCCTTTAGCTCCCTGCAAACCTACTCATGTGGTGGCCAGTCTGAACTGTGAATCGGGCATCGTGTCGATCGTGTGGGACCCCGCAAAAGGCGCCAACACATACATAGCACAGGCTGAGGGCACAAGCGGGCACACTACCTTCTGCGCCGGCAGTGACACACATTGCACCATGAAAGATCTGCTATGTGGCCAGGACTACTCCATCACAATCCTGGCCGCAAGCAACCACTGCACCACCAGTTCAGGAGAGCCAACTTCTGTGACAACAGGTAGAGTGCCGAGTGTCCTCTCCCTTCCGGAGCTCCCCCAGCTCCATTTGTAACTGGAGCCATGAGATGAATGCCATCCTGCTCTCCGCAGGCCCTTGTTCCCACCACCAACTGGCAGCATCTCTGCACTGCGCATCAAACACAGCCACAATCTCCTGGACCCCAGGGAAGGGAACCTTATCTTACAATGCCTCAGCCGAATCCCTCACCATCACACACTCTGCTTCCTGTACCACTGCAACTTCCAGCTGTGACATCACCTCCCTGGAATGCAGCCAGGAGTACAGGGTCAGCGTGAGCGGACAAGGCCTTACCTGCCCTAGCCCGGCAAGCTCCTGGGTCACCTTTAACACAGGTAACCTTCTTTCTGGACCTTTACTGCCGGAAATATGCAGCATCTCCATCCATCACTTGCTTTTCCAGTACAAGGTTCCAGGGCACTGGGAACAATGAAATGAAACACCCTGGATAAGATGTATGTTCATTGCTGGGCCCAAATTCACATAAACAATGGCATGGTATATGCAACATAGAGATAACAGTTCATCAGCTCAAACCTTAGGTGTGAGAAAAAAGTAAAGCAAAGGGAAATAAAGTACAGACAGGATAGCTGCACAACAAGAGAGAATATGCCAACTCTGCACATGTACAAAGTGGGGACACAGCATTCAGATGACAACAATTAACCGCAAACTCCAAGCTGGTGTGGATGGAAGAGTGTAGCGGTTAATGCAGCCAAGTCACACTGCCATCCTTTTTAGCCATCAGAGTGAAAGGGCAAATGTAACTACAGTGACATCATAAAACACCATCTTATACTCCCTCTGCCCATGTCACCTTTGTCTCCCAGCCTCCTGCCCCCCCACACAGGTCACGGTCCATTCATTCTGTGGCTCGGACACAGTGTCTGTCTCCTGGACTCCAGTGAAGGGTGTGATGTCATACATGGCTGCTGCCGAGGGGCGTGACGGACATGTGGCGTCGTGCAACACCAGCCACACGGTCTGCGACGTCCCAGGCTTGCATTGCGGCCAAATTTACGAGGTGTTTGTCGCGGCCTTGGATGAGCACTGCATTGCGGGAAAAAGTGAAATGCATATCCTGAAGACCGGTAATTGGCTTTTACTAAACATTTACCAAGCAATTCAGGTCATCTCTTGACTCCCTAATATTAAGTGCCTATTTTTAACTATTTACCAATTCATGAGTAATTATGCAATTGAATATGTTATTATTACAGAGTAATTTCAATGAATAATTGTTGATGAGGAATACAACTTCAACAACTGTTTTCTTTCTTCTTCAGAGTAACAATGTGGTTTTTAAAAAAATGCTAATTCATGTAAGAAACGTTGAGTATGATCTGATAATGTGGAGCCACTACCTGCTCCTTCACGCTGCTCCTCTATCCCCAGCTCCCTGTGAACCCCAGGATGTGGACGTCCATTTGGAGTGCCAGTCAGGTGTTCTTGGGTTATCCTGGGAACCAAGCAGCGGGGCGGACCGCTACCAAGTGGAGGTAGTCAGCGACAATGGCTTAGTCAAAATGTGCAACACCGAGAGCACCTCCTGTGACATCCCTGACTTGCAGTGTGGACTCGGGTACACCGTTACTGCTGTGGCACTTGACGACAAGTGCAATAGCTCCCACAGCTTGGCCAACAGCTTCACATCAGGTCAGCCATTTCCCTGCTTGTTATACTCATATACTGAGGTGAGATGCTGCTTCTTCATATATATATTTCCCCCCTATTCATACAGCCCCGTGTCCCCCTGATCACATCAGTGCCAGTGCAGATTGCTTCTCAGGCAACGTCTCAATCTTCTGGAGTCCCACGGTCCAGGGCGTCCAGTATGCCGTTACTGTGAAGGAGCCCGGCAGCCGCTCTCAGGTGTGCAGTGTCACAGGCCTCCAGTGCGTCATCAGCGGCCTGCAGTGCGGCGCGGAGTACACACTGGAGGTGTCCGGAGAGAGAGACGGCTGTGTGGGGGCTCCCAGCACTGAGCACCCTTTCCAAACAGGCGTGTATACTCTCGTGGCAAAAAAGCCACAAGCTTGCACTGAATGGCACTGTTAAACTCATCTACCACATGCAACTGTGCATGTTTGGTGGCATTGTGGTTAGTTTGTGAGAGTAATGTCTGCGTGATCTGCCTCCAGTGCCCTGTGTCCCACTCCTGGTTGGAACAAAGATGGACTGCCCATTAGACTCCGCCTGGGTGGAGTGGAGGAACTCGCGAGGGGCGGAGCTGTACGTGGCCAATGCGGAGGACAGTCAGGGGCAGGTGGCTTATTGCAACGGCGGCAATGGAGTCAGTGGCTGCTCTGTGCCAGGCCTGCAGTGCAGTCTACAGTACACCTTCACAGTGACTGCTTCCAATCAGCAGTGCACCAGTGCACCCAGCAACGCTATGCAGCTGCAGTCTGGTGAGGGGGCTCTCTCCATCTCCATCGCCGTCTCCATCTCCATCCATGCTACATGCCATGGCCATCATATCGCCTTCTGAGCTCATGATCTCTCAATATTTTTGTCTTGAGTTTTTTTTATTACATTTATCCATAAATCTATATATAAGGCATCCTAGATATGGATGGATATATATCCGTGTGTCTACCACTGTCTATTTGTAGTTACTATGTATTTATTTCTCAATATTTTTATATAGTTGTTTTCAATTCATTGAGACCCCCAGCCAATTTAACCAGACCATTTAAGATAAATGTAAAACAGAAAAAATACTTTGGCATAACGATATTAATACTAGTGATGGCCAAAACAACACTTTGTGAAGTGTTTGCTGTATTTTTTTAGCCCACTAGATGGTGCTCTCTGTTCAAAACAGGGCTCAAAGCATGCCTCTGAACAAACCAAGAGCACTATCTGGTAGGATCAGAAAATACCACAAATGGTTCATTTTGGCCTTCACTAATTAATACTGTTCTATACATATATGACTGTCTGTCTGTCTGTCTATCTATCTATCTATCTATCTATCTATCTATCTATCTATCTACAGTATCTATGTCTGTCTGTCTGTCTGTCTATTATCTATCAGGGTCTTGGTGGCCAAGACCCATCAATACAACATGTGAACATCTATCCCATTTCATACAAACAAACAGAAGGGCTACTAAGGCACAATTTGCAGATAACTTTAATGATGGCCACAGAAGTAATGTGCTGTGACACAGCGCTTCAGCCCCAGTTGTGTATGGGGCTGTGTGGCTGCGGATCAGAGCTGTTGTTCCAACACATCTCACAGATGCTCACCACATCCCTGGCCATCCACATGATGCAACACAAAAGTTGTTCACATCTTTACTCCTGCATTCATCACATCAACGACGAGTACGGAAAGTCAGCTTGCCATCTAATGTATCCTGCACCTTGACATGCTGTTTTTACAAGATAGCTGACCTTATCTGGCTTATATTGCACTGGTCATAAATGTGTTGGCTCATTGGTGTATATGCAAATATTTCTATGTGAATACTGATGACCTGCATCTATGATGACCTCTAAAAGAAAATAACTAGTTATGGTCCTGATTGTCACTACCGACTCTTGCATTCCCCAAAGCCCCATGCCCGCCAGAGTATGTCAGCATGGATGTGGATTGTAGGAATGGGACCATGACAGCATCCTGGCCCCTCAGTTGGGGCGCTCTGAGCTACATCGCTACTTTGCGGGGCCCAGATGGCAAAACATGGGCATCCTGCACCACCAATGGATCGGACTGCAACATTGGCACGATGCCCTGTGGGGAGAGCTTGGTCCTGGGAGTGGTGGCTGAGGGAGCCAGCTGTTACAGTAGGCGGAGCCAAGACTTCCCCATCAGCACAGGTAAGGTGGACACATCATACTGTACATATGGGGGAATGACATGAGGGGGCAATATTAGTAACGACTGTGCGCCAAATGGGAAAATCTGTACACTTTGCAGAAACATTTGTACATGTTAATGTCAACCGTTTCATATGGCTTCCAACACCATAGGACGATTCCTTTCAATGGGCCAAAGGCAATGATCTTGCAAAGGTCACCAATAATCCAGTAGGTCTCTTACTAAAAGAACAATTCTTTGGACATTATTCTGTATACCACACAAAGCTTGGATAAGGATGATGGGGTCAGGCCTGGATGTCCTGTGATAGGACGAAATCACGTGGCACATGTACTCACCCATGTAGTTAACCGCTGCCTTTTTACCTTGTAAGGCTCTATTTCATCTCTTGCCCCTAGGACAAGTTCTCAGACCATAAGCCTAACTTCTATTTTGCCGTTTCCCTCTACTAAAGCTGAAATGACCATCTTCACAATTTCTTTAAAAACATCTTCACTCTTGCCAAGTACACTCTCTCACAGCTTCCTCTATGACCACTAAAGCATTATAATTATTCCAACTCTTTATGGTTGGAAATGCAAAGTTTTACATGTCACATGCATTGATTTTTTTTCCTCTAGTACCTTGTTCTCCACAAATCCTGGAGGCCACCCTGAGATGTGGTGACAACATGGCAACCGTGACTTGGAACAGGAGCAGGGGGGCGGAGCGTTACCTAGTGAAGGCCACCAGCAGCGACGACCACCAGGCCTCCTGCATCTCACGTGGGGATACCTGCTACCTCAGGAGCCTGAGCTGTGGGAAGATATACACAGTCACTGTTCGGGCAGAGGACCGCACCTGCTCCAGTGCATGGAGCCATCCAGTTGAAATTAAGACAGGTAACTATAGTGACCACACCGCCAGTCTACCCAGACTCCTCCTGGGTTAAATCCCCAGTTATAGGTATAGCTCTAGGTCTAGTTTCTCCTTGGCTTAATGGTTGCCCATTCCCTTCAGTCCCCTGCATCCCTGAAAATGTAGATGCCCACTTTGACTGCGAGTCAAGGACCATGATCGTGTCCTGGTCAGCAAGCGATGGCGCAGACTCCTACACAGCCACGCTGGAGGACAGCGACGAACGCTTCACCAATTGCCAGACTTTGGGAGCCAGCTCGTGCAATGTGACCGGTCTGCACTGTGGCCAGGTTTATCACGTGTCCGTGACCGCGTCGGATGGCCACTGCACCAGCCAGGAGAGCACCATGCTGGATGTCCACTCAGGTGGCATGGAATACCAAAAATTAGATAAGGGAATGTAGGCCAAGTGGGCAAACCTGTGTCAGCAACCAGTTCTGTGAAGCAGCACCAATATTCTACTAGAAAATTCTCCAGCAGATCAGAAGCTAACCAACCAATGTTGCTTCCTCTCCTACCAGTGCCCTGTCTCCCCAGGCATATCAAGGCCTCCATGGACTGCGAGAGGGCCACGGCGGTGGTGACCTGGGACTTCTCCCCCGGAGCAATGTCCTATGTTGCTACAGCCACTGCAACATCTGGCCACGTTGCCACCTGTGACACCACCCACACCAACTGCGAGATGAGCAGTCTGGCATGTGGGGAGCGATACTTCGTGTCAGTACTCGCGCGGGGGGAGACCTGCAACAGCACATCCAAGATGCCTCGCCAGCTCATGACAGGTAAACCGGCTATGACTAAACATGCCATCCTACAAAGACCTTTGTTAAGTAAGGACACAAGTAGGATGCAATTCACAAGGCATTAATGTGCTTCCCGTACCATAAGGTTCTCAGTCTTTTTCGAGACATCGCTCCAGAATGATAACCCTAAAAGATTTTATATTATATATTAATTAAGAATTGTGAGTCTCTAATGCATCAGGGGTTTGCTGTAGTAGAATCTGAATTACTTTCATGTAAAAACAAACCTTTATCTCAGTTTTGGCTGTTATTTCAATCTCAAGGTACCTCAAAAAAACCTCCCATAAAGCTTCACACTCCTGAGGAACTCAGGACTAGCTCACTCAACAACCCATGGTTTAAATACTGGAATTAATAACTTAATGTTCTCATTTACATGTAGAACCATGCATGCCTCTTCATGTTAGCATCCAGTACAACCCACCAGTAGGCCAGGTCTACTGGGACACAAGCATGGGGGCCTCATACTACATCACAGAGGCTGTGACCAGTGACGGCTTCCAGACTTCATGCACAACCACGGACAACTACTGTGCCCTCCATAATATGGCCTGTGGCCGTGAGTACAACATCACGGTCCTTTCCAGCAATCAGGCCTGTGAAGATATCGTCACCTCTGACCCAGTCAGCCAGACCACAGGTGAGGCAGTGATACCTGAGGATCAGACATGGGCTTTCCAGTAGAACACCTTCACAACCATCCCTACTTTTTTTTACGACATATATCTTCTGGTATACATCTTCTTGTACATCTCAATTCCAATTCTAGTTTGATTTGCTTGCATGTATCCACCAGTCACGCTAAGGTTTCCTGGTCCACTGTTCTCTTCACCTCAGCATGCTCTTCATTTCCACATTAAACTTGACTTGATATGCAGAGCAGAAGTTCTGTTGGGGGGGGGGTGCCCAGAACAATACACAAATAGCGTGAAGCTCGTGTTGTCATGCTCCAGAACCTTGTCCCCCGAAGCATGTCCAAGCCCGTGTGGACTGCAGGACAAACCTGGGACATGTGTCATGGGAGGAGAGTGATGGGGCTGTGGCCTACCTGGCCATCCTGGATGGGCGCGATGGAGATTCTACCTTCTGTTACACCACAACCACATCCTGCACTTTGGATACACTCCATTGCGGAACGGTCTACTACACCAGAGTCCAATCTATAGGAGAGACATACAACAGCTCAGACAGTGCCGCCTACAGCCTACTCACAGGTCAGTGTCCAGAGGCTCCTCTTCTGAGGTATTTTATTAACCAACCTTGAAAGCAGAAGGTTCTCTGCTAGCTGTTTTGCATATCGTTCCAGCTCCTTGTGTGCCAGACATGTGGGAGGCCCAGGTAAACTGCAAGAACGACACTGTGTTGGCATCCTGGAATTACAGTATTGGGGTGGAGTCCTACGTACTGACCGCCAGAGGCATCGATGGACATTCCACTTCCTGCATCACCAGGGAGACCTACTGTACCCTCGTCGGCCTCACCTGTGGGAATGCGTACACCCTCAGCCTGGCTGTCTCCACCCATCAGTGCTCACTCATGTCCCCCACCGAATTCACCCTCCAGACCAGTGAGTGCCGTAGGGAGGAACTCAACAGCCTTGAGTACATGTCCTTTCAGATAAATCAACCCAGGAGTGTTAAATCTCACCATAAATATACTAAGAAAGTATAACCCACTTCACAAATCACATTCCATTAAATCCCAATTCAATGTAAGCCATCCATCTGTCCACCCAATCACTTTCTGTAATGCCTGTCCAGTACAGGGTCCCAGTGAGCGTGGAGTCTATTCTAAGAATCACAGGTTACCTGCATTCTGATTCACAATGGGCAATTTAGGGTCATTACCTCACTTAACAGTATGTTGTTGGACACACACACACAGGGCGGGGGTTGGGAATTAACCCCACAACCTTATAGTGCAAATAGTGCTAAGCACCAAGCCATTGCGCCATCAACAGAAATGACTGAAGCAGATTCAAGCACTTTGTCATTGTGTAACACAACAAAATTACACCAAGTGTGGTTAGTGCCAGGTGTACCTGTGCCACAGTCTGGCTGTCTGAAATCCCGTGCCCCTTCCCACAGAGCCTTGCCCCCCACCGCACGTGTCGGTGGAGCTGCAGTGTAACTCTCGTACTGCCAGTGTATCGTGGAGAGAGAGCGAAGGGGTGGAGCTCTACACGGCCAGCGCTGTGGACTCTGCAGGCATGTATGCCGAGGACTGCAACACCACCGGCACCACGTGCCTCTTTGCCAACCTGGAATGTGGGGAGACCTACACCTTCACAGTCAGGGCGTACAGCGGCGAATGCCGGAGCCAAGCCGGCGAGACCATCCATCGCAATACAGGTGCTTGACCACCCACTCACTCTCATCTTTGCTTTATTATGGTTGTTTAGTAATCATTCCTTAGTAAGTAGAAGTATGTCTTTTTTAGTAATCATTCAGGCAAATTTATGGGCACTGGGTAAGGAGGAGCAGGAACAGCAGTATGTCGTATAAGTTTGCAGTTCAGCACCTTGCGAAACACCCTTTAAACGTGATGGTAAACATGGTAAATTTAAGCCCTTCTCATGCAGAGCCATGCCAGCCCATCAACGTGACAGCGCAGGGATCATGTGAGAACGACACAGCCGTCCTGCAGTGGGCGGAGACTAAGGGGGCGTCTATATACGTCGTGAGTGCCCTGGGTGACCTGGGGTACGTGGTGGATCTCAGAACCCCCAACACGTCCATCCCGGCTGAGCTGCCCTGTGGACAGACCTACAACCTCAGTGTGGTGGCCTGGGATGACTATTGTGACAGCCCCAGAAGCAGTGTTCTGCAATACAGAACCGGTCCGTTGGGGTAACCCTTCAGGTTTTATGGTTTGTGTTAAATGCTCTATTCAGTTTTCAAGCTTCTCATCAGTGTGATGACATCCCAGACGAAGAAAGGTTTCCATTTAGTAAGAAATTCGTCTCTTGGGCATGTAAAAACTCAGGGAAAAACATTTTGGATAAGAAAGAGAAACTAGCAAGTTTAAAGAAACAGGAACACCAGGCAGTCAGGATAACTGTGAGAACGACACTGCGTTGGCGTCCTGGAATCTGGAATTACAGTGTCGGGGAGGAGTCCTTAGACGTTGATTGATCCATCGTCCGACCACATATCCTGAGCACAAGGAGCCTTGCTCCTAACCCAGAAAACACTGGTCAAGCTGCAGGAGTACCCAGGTCATGGTGCCTGTCCATCACAGAGCTCACACACTCACTCATAGCATCACACACTATGGGTAATTTAGTCAAAATATTTTACTCAAAATCTCATTTTTAGACAACAGGTCTGTAGTACTGAAACAAACCAGTTCTGGTTATGTACTTACATAAACACTATCTTTCCTCTCCCCCTTCCCAGCTCCATGCACCCCCCAAAATGTGGTGCCCAGTGTCCAATGTGAGGACAGCGTGGGCTCTGTCAGCTGGGCACACAGCGACGGCGCCGAGTCCTACGTGGCACTTGCCGTGGGACTGGACGGCCACACCCACACCTGCGCCAGCCATAACCCTAACTGCACCTGGGACGACCTGCACTGCGGCAACCTGTACGGCATCACCGTCATCGCCGAGGACGCGCTGTGCAGCAGCCTGCCTAGCAGCAGCGTGCTCATCTACACCGGTACCTGTCCTTGCGATTCCTCATACCCAGGCATACATGTCATTTATGTGTTACTCTGCAATAAGTTTTCAAAAGCATTAGACAGAACTTCAGCCAATTTCCGCACTGTGACTGTTTAAACAAAACTCAGTAGATATTATTCTAAGAGGAAAAGCAAGCAGCCACCCCCACTACCTGACTGGCGGGTGCAGACAAGGGCTGCATGATTCATCGTTTTTTGATTCGGGATTTTGATTCATACACCTACAGGATCTCAATCTTACGTGACACAGATTCTGCCGTGTTTGCATTAGAAGGGAGATCCGCTGCATCAAACCAGGCGCTCCCTTTTTTCTTCTAAGCTGTAGCAACAAATCCCAGCACTATGTTACACCATTTGACAGGAAGAGGGGGCAGAAAAACAGGCGCTATAATACAGAGCAGACGAGGTTTGTTTAGAATTTCTCATTGGAAATGCCAGCACAGATTAATGGCATGATGTTACATAGTTTTTAATTCTGTAGAAAAATAGACCAGGGGGCCTGATTTAATAATGAATTATAAACAAGTCGCAGGCTGTTATTTTGAGACCTCTTATATCTTAAATAGATTGACTAAATCCCTCATCCCCCATTATGAAAAGCAGTTTATAGTTCAACCATCTCCACTATTTTAGCTGTTGTGTTTTTAGCGCTAGTGCCGCTTATGCTGAATATTGATTGTTGACTGTTGATTAAGTTTAAATATCAGCCATCAATATCACCCAAGACCGCTACACCGGACTGATTCCAATATCTTGATTTTTAACGATTATTGGTTGATACCGATATTTTAACTGATATATCTCTACATATTGTTTGCTCCATCTCCATAAAGAAAATATGTAATGCAAATAATAATAGTAATAATGAGAGAAATTTATTGTTCAAGAATTGTGAGAGAAAACCACGAGTGGAAAAAAAAAATCAGACTTCATATTTTACCCAGAATCATGCAGACTTACCATGCCAAAGAAAACCTCCCCAATGTCTGAACTGCACAGCCCACCATGTGGTGGGACGCAGATGTTGCAGCATGGTGACAGCATGTGTCTGCTGAAACCATTATCTAACTGGTTGCAGTGCCTGCTGGGTGCACATGCCAGTCTCCCTTTATAGACTCACATAGAATCTCAGGCTTAAGTTCTGCAGCTGCCATCCTGTCTTCTGAAGTCTGCATTTGTCACCTGTGGCCTTTTGCTTCTTTCAGCGCCCTGTGTGCCCCAGAACCTGAAGGCCTCCCTGAACTGTAGCACCAAGGTGACACTGCTGACGTGGGACCCCAGCCCTGCGGCCAAGTTCTACACGGTGACCGCCGATTCTAGCGATGGCCAGAGGATGCAGCTGAGCACTGGCAAAATGCACACCTACATCTCTGAGCTCACCTGCAGTCACGTGTATTCCCTCACGGTCACGGCCATGAGCACGCACTGCACCAGTGCCGCCAGCCCACCCATGCACTGGCAGACAGGTATGCATATGCATCCCAGATACCCTATTTAAACCCCTAGCGTTTGGTTTATTTAATTTACATAACAAGGTTAAAGCGCATCTGCTTGTCCTCCTATTTAGAGGCCTGCCCCCCCACTGCCACTGCCCCCGAACTGGACTGTGTGTCTAACATCGCCGCTGTGACATGGGAGGCAGTTGAGGGGGCGGAGTTTTACATCACCACTGCCTACTCTGAGGGCGGCCAGTCCGACACCTGCATGTCCCCCACGACCCGATGCAGCCTGGCCGGCCTGCAGTGCGGTCAGATGTACACCGTGTCGGTCACTGCTGTCAACCAGCAGTGCGGTTCTGATCCGAGCGTCCCTAGCATGTTCCACTCAGGTAAGGGGGGATCTGGCCCAAAAGCCCTGGTGGGGGTGTAACCTGGACTCAAACTGACCTCTTTCCATTGTCCTCTCCTCACTTTTCCCCACACAGTTCCCTGCGTCCCACAGGGCCTGACCGTAGAAATGCACTGTATGGAAAATGAAGTCCTAGTTACCTGGAACAACAGCCAGGGGGCGCTGTCCTACAGGGCTGTCGCCCAGCATGATGGAGGAAGCCCCTTGTTCTGCGAGAGCCACGACCCTGGCTGCATGCTCACCGGCCTCCTCTGTGGTACGCTGTACACGGTGCACGTGATTGCTGTGGGAGAAGCCTGCTCCAGCCTCCCCAGCGAGTCCGTGGACTTCCATTCAGGTGACTCCCCCGAACTCTCCAACCCGCTACAACTTTCATGGTCCTACAATGATTTGTTCAAAATAATATTAGTTTTCATGAGGCTAAAAGCATGTTGTAGGTCCTTTTCATGATGAGCAGTGACGACACGAGAGATCATCCTAATTCCATAACCATTCACCCGGGAAGCACAAGCCACGGGGCAGGGAACACCCTTGGGGGGGGTAACAATGTTTCACAAGGCCCACACTCACATATTATGGACATATTAGAGTAATTTACCTAATGGCATATTTTTGGACTACAGGAGGAAACCCAGTAACCAGAGCAAACTCACATAAACACAAGGAGACTCCACACAGAGAACAGAGGGCAGCGATCAAACCCAAAAATGTACAGACACCAAGCACTGAGCCACCGTGCCAGCTACCAGAAATCATAATGTTCCATTTGCACGTTGTGGTGGCAGCTGATGCTGCTGGTACTGCTCTGCTAACTGCACAGCCTCCCTCCTCCAGTGCCTTGTACTCCAGGGATCACCTCCATGTACCTGGATTGCGTCACCAACTCACTGATGACGTGGTGGGATCACGCAGAAGGTGCCACGTCGTACGTGGCCCTGGCAAACACCCGCGGCGCTGACAGTGTCATCTGCAGAACCAACGTCACGGGCTGTCATTTTCTGGACCTGGATTGTGGCCGTGTATACGCTGTCAGGCTGCTGGCCTCGGACGGGCAGTGCAACAGCTCACTAAGCACCAGCGAGGACGTTGAGTCAGGTGAGCGGGGGCCCGCATTCCTGCCCTCAGCCCATTGGATAAGGCCTTTGACATGTCAGTTCCCTTGATAATAGACTTTGCTACTCGTTTTCTCATGGCTAGTTTAACAAATTTTAGTTTAACCAGCACTCCTTCCCATATGGTGTAGTGCGGGGTATGTGGTATAATTTTAAACCTGAAACTGGGTACAATGTTAACAAGAGTCATCTCTCTCCACCTCTGGGTTCCGCAGTGCCCTGCACGCCCGAAAACGTGGAGGCGGAGCTGATGTGTTATTCCGACGCTGCCTACGTGGAGTGGGAGGCCAGCAGGGGGGCGGAGTCCTACGTGGTGCAGGCCGTGGCTTCTGAGGGCCACGTCAGCTTCTGCAACACCACTGAGGTGGCCTGCGAGGTGCCTGACCTGGTCTGCGGAGATATCTACAACATCAGCGTGGTGGCCGTCCGGCAGGACTGCAACGTGTCAGAGAGCAGCGTGGTGGAGCTGAATAGCAGTAAGCGCTTCGCACATGCCGACTTTCCCCAGGTTGATGTTGAACACATAAGGTGCATGTGTAGGCCTGGCTCAGAGGACCAGACAGTTCTCTTGGTTCTCCTTCCAGCTCCTTCCTCTTGAATTCACTCAGCTGGCCCTACTTATCCCTTTCAGGGTAATCAGTCCTATCAGAGCCAGCTAGGCTTCAGAAATTAGGGCTTTATTGGCATACATCAGCCAATCTTGGCACCGTGTATGTGCTGCTTTCTGAAAGTGCGTTTGTGGTTTTTCCTTCCTGTTTGTCTGTAACAATTGATGATTGCCAACCGGTCAATCATGATCCACAGGTCGATCACCAAGACATTTCTAGTCGATCGCTACACAAGTTCTAATCCTTCCAAAGTATCGCTGTAAAAAAGGTTGGCGACCACTGTGCTATAAGAAAAGTGTATCTGCTTTTTGTTATTGTATGGTGTTACTGTACATGTGCTTGTTTGTGCCCACATAGAGGCTCCTAAAGCCTGGGCTCAGCCGTCACGTTTTCTGCAGTGAATGAGTACGCGGTGCTTCGCCCTCCTCAGTGCCCTGCGCCCCGCAGCTGGTCGATGCTGCTGTAGACTGTGAAACGGGGGCCGTGATGGTGACCTGGGAGCACAGTCCGGGAGCCACATCCTACACTGCCTTTGCCCACGCGCTCACGGGCTACAACTCCTCCTGCAACACCACAGAGACCGTGTGCGAGTTCGCCGACCTCCTGTGTGGCCTGCCCTACGCCTTCCACGTTGTTGCCCTTGATGATGACGCCTGCATCAGCCTGGAGAGTATGGTGGCGTACGTGGACACAGGTAAGGATGCTCCAAGCCTTGGCTGATGGGTTAGATCCTCGGTGCCACGTGACCTCAGCCCTAAGAACATTGTCCCATCCCACAGTTCCATGTGAGCCCCATAATGTCACGGTGATGTCCGACTGCTCCTCCGATGCGGGGCTTATCAGGTGGGAGGAGGCAGAGCACGGGGATTTCTTCTATGTGCTGGCAACAGGCCTAGACGGCCACCAGACTACATGCGGCAGCGACCCATTTGCCGAGTGCTGGCTCCACGGGCTGCACTGTGGTCAAAGGTACAACCTGACAATCACTGTCCAGGACCATGTGTGCAACAGCAGCCACACCTATCGGACCCTGCGGTCAGGTGGGTGAGCTTCTCATGGACCAGAGGCTATGGTTCTTCTGACTGGCAACTACAAATTTTAATAAACATTTTGAATTTTAATTAAAATTCTTAGCATGACCCTAACCTCCACACGTGCTACATGTAGTTTTCATTTCGGGAGATGTTTGTCTAATACATGAAAACTTCTGCCTGATTCCCATACAGTCACACTGGTCTATTTCCTGGTTCTGAACCTCTTCATGGGCTTTTCCCCCTCAGCTCCCTGTGAGACTCGGGATGTGCAAGCAGTCGCGCGCTGTGGCTCCGGTTCGGCCTGGGTGTCGTGGAGAGATAGTGGTGAGGCTGAGTCATACCAGGCCACAGCCACGGCCCCCGGGAGCCAGCCAGTCAACTGCAACACCAGTGACAACCACTGTGAGCTGGACGGGCTACAGTGCGGACGGACTTACGACATTTCCGTCCTCTCTACATATGACTCTTGCCGCAGTGCCGAGATCAGGGGCCAGCCCTTCCATACAGGTGAGCATGGACCTATCTGAAGTGGGCTATACGCCACTCTTCTGGCTGCTGATGACCTCCTGCGCCCCCTCGCAGCCCCCTGTCCACCGCATCGTGTGGAGGTCCTGGGGTCCTGCAGCCCAGACAGGCAGCTGAGGTGGGACTTCGACCCTGATGCAGACTACTTTGTTGTGAGTGTCAAACCTGAAAATGGCACGCAGCACTCCTATAAAACGGGTGAGGCGAGCTGGCGCATCAGTCACCTGACGTGCGGCCAGAATTACTACGTCTACGTTACGGCCTTCCGTGGGAGCTGCAAGAGCATGCCCAGCCTGACCGTCCAAGTACCATCAGGTACCCACGGCCCCTCGCTTTCAGGGTCTGAAATTTCAGCAAGGCCACATTTAAATGTTCACTCTTGACAGTCCTGCTCTGAAGCGCCCCCTGCTGGTTTTTTTTTTGCAGTCCCATGTACGCCCCAGCAGGTTTCTGGTAACCTGGAGTGTGGGACTAACTCAGCCTGGGTCATGTGGGACCCTACCCCAGGGGCGCTGACCTACAGGGTGACTGCAGAAAGCGTGGACGGCCACAACTCGTCCTGCCCTGGCTCCCCCTCCAGCTCCCCCTGCAACGTACCCTCCCTGCAATGCGGGATGACCTATACCTTCAGGGTCACTGCCATTGGCCACATCTGTGAGAGCCAATCCAGCTCTACCTACAAGCTCATGACAGGTACCGGTGACACGCCTGCGTCTCCTCAAGATGTAACTAACAGCGGTTGAACGCTTGACCCCTAAGGGCAAATATTAGCGCCCAAACAGCATAGCGAACTGCTAAAATTGCATGATGTGCCAACAACAGAACATGTGTCATTTTGTAACAGCGCTACATGACAGTTAGATAATATGTAATACGTGACACTCAACAGCCCCCTGCCTCCCCAAGTCGATCACGGCCGTCACGGAGTGCCACAGCGACACCATCCAGGTGACCTGGGAGAGGACGCAGGCCTCCCCTCTCTACATCGCTATAGCGGACGGGAATGACGGAAGCACGCTGTCCTGCAACAGCACCATGGGGACCTGCCAGCTGGCCGGTGCTCATTGCGGAACGGAGTACAATGTCATCGTGGCCTCCTACTCGGACAAATGCAGCAGCTTGAGGAGCTCCCCATACACTATTACAACAGGTATGCTGCTATATAAAACCTGTGCCTTCAGGTTGATCCTGGTTAGAGTTATATATATATAGATGGTTATTCCGTCAGACCTCAGGCAAATGGTTCGACACACACCAAAATAGTGTAAGAAGATCCTAGCTTAGCCTAAGCTAGCATATCCTTAGACTACCTTAAGCAAATTTAGCTAACCTCTATAAAGTCCTACCGATTACTATAAGCTCCTACCAATTGGCACTTGACATGAACATCTTGACTCTTAACAATTCTAGAGTGAAGCAGTTCTGGTTAAACAGAGCAGCTCAGAACAAGGTATCTTCTGGTAATAAAAATAATAGTGATGTTATTTAATGAACAATAACAATTTCCCAATCACATAAGTCTATTTTCTCCGTTCAAGCACCATGCACCCCTCAGGACATTATAGTGGATGCCTGTAACAGTGAAGGCATCAAGGTTTCCTGGCCAAACTCATCCGTGGCAGAGTTCTACCTCATGACGGCCACAGGGGAAGATGGCAACACACTGACCTGGAACATGTCCGAGAGCCACCCGACGCTCACGGGGCTGCGGTGTGGTCATGCCTATTCCTTTTCCGTCATTGCCACGGCGATGGGCTGCACCAGCCTGGCCAGCTCTCCGATCACCCTAAGTACCGGTAAGTTCCCCGTCCTCTCTGTGGTTAGCCTGGATGTGTTATGCATCCATTGCATCCATGTTGGCTACATCGATGCTTATACTCCTATGCTTTCAAATATTCCTACCCCTTATTTTATCTGTACAACAGCCTTCTTGGAGCTGTTTATGATCGTTCTTCAGTCCTCAATGTTCCAGGCTAATCAGGTTGAGACCCAGGATGGGAGCATTGAAAAAATAAATGAAATCCACTAATTGCCAATTAGGTGATGAGTACAAACACTAATATTCCATCTCACCACACTGGATGGTGAATGATGGCCATGATTGTTGTTTTAAAGGTGAGAATCTTCATCCATTTTCACACAACCAGTAGAGGGATCATAGGGCGGCGAAGGTCTTGTGGTCCTTATACTGTAGGACTCTGTTCTTCTTCCACTATTTCTTTAGGGGACATTAGGGGTGTTATTTTGGGAATACAGTATTATAATTAAATGCGCCCAACTCCACAGCACCCTGCATCCCGGACAATTTGATGGTACAGATGGAGTGTGCCAGCAAGTCGGCAGCTCTCTCCTGGGGTGCGAGCGGGGGCTCCCTGGGGTACTTCGCCCGTGTGCAGCCTGAGCACGGCGCCACACTGTTCTGCGGCGGGACGACCACATCCTGCAACGTCTCCGGACTAGAATGCGGCGTCCTGTATGACTTCTCAGTGCTGGCCTCCGACAGCACCTGCAATAGCTCCTTTGGCAAGCCAATAAGCCGGGGTGCAGGTACTCCCACCTTCTAATCGCTGGCACGGTGCCTCCAATCATGACCAGGAAGGTCACATCCCACCTCTTCCCTTTCCTAGCTCCTTGCCCCCCCAACGTGGTTCAGAAGCGGCTGCTGCCAATGACAGAAGGAGTCCAGATTGTTCGAGTGTCCTGGGATCCTGTGGACTGTCCTGGGGTGACGTACCTGGTCGATCTGATGGGAATGATCCAAGGCAATGAGCAGGCGCTCATCAACATCTTCTCCTATTGGACTGACCGCACCTTCTTCGAGATCCCTGTTCCCTGCAGTTCCACGTACTCTGTTACCGTCACAAGCAAGAACTCAGCAAGCACTGGAGATCCCTCGACGGCCATTACCGGAAGCACAGGTACTGGGGCAGGGAGACACTGTGCCTTCCCCCACTCGCCACAGCATAATACAGAGTGTTTAGCCCATGTGGTTACATTGACGGCTGCTGTCATTTCAGCTCCCTGCCCGCCGTCGTCTATCACATTCGTCGGGGGCGACGGTTCTGCTGTACTGTCCTGGAGCCCCTCGATCTTCGCCACCAGCTACACTGTCTATAGGCTCTCCAACAGCACCAGGTCTCAGGTCTGCAGCACTGCACAGCTGTCCTGCAGGCTGCACAATGTCAGCCACGACTCTGTCGAGGTGACAGCCAGCAACCCGGCGGGACAGAGCAATCCGAGCCGTGACGTTCAAGGTAAGGGGCTGTTTGTGGGGTCTGTCTATCCCGAAGTAGCGAAACTGCACAGCACGCTGAATTAAGAGCATGACTGAACCTGCAGTTACCCAACATCCTGAGTTCATTTAACAGATATATCATCCACTCGCACCAGAAGAACCCTGCATGAAGCCGTGATTGATAAGAGGGGTATGTATGCTTTCCAGGGTTTTTCTTTTGTAACATACTTAATCTACTAAATTAAACGCTTGAATTTTAAGAACACTTCTGAAATGACCACTGTCTAATCACAGGTTTACGAGCAACTTTATTCCTCTTTTAGACGAAATGCCCGTTCCGATTGTGCAAGTGGCAGCAGCAGGGATCTCTCTGCATGTCAGATGGAGCACAGTAGGTGGAGCATCACACTACACATTGATGGTCAGGCCGGACTCCGGCAGGCAGCCCGTCAGACCCATGTTGATCCCCGTGTATGGAGAGTCCCACACAGTGACTGACCTGGAGCCCAGCACCAGATACTGCGTCTCCCTGTCTGCCACAATGGCTTCAGCCAGCGGCCCATTCTCTGAGCCAAGCTGCATGCGCACGGGGACAACCATCTAGGGCCCATAAGCAAAAGAACACTTTTACACATGTTCCGTTGAAAGGACGGGAACAGGATGTGTGTGTGTGTGCATGTTGGAGGGAGGGAGGTCCATGAGTGTGTGCCAATGAAATTCACTGTTCATTTCAAAAGTGACCTGGTAAAGCATTGTTTACTGTGAACCTATTAGGCAGAACATAGTTTTTTTTAATATAAAGAGATAGACGGCAGTGTAACATGATTTTAAACACTTTTAAATTATCGTGATGTTTGGTTTGGCTCGTCAAACTGTATCAGCCCAGCTGAGTGTAATGGTTAGTTCAGAAAGGATTGTTGATGATACTGATGTTTTCCAGTGTGCTGAAGGGAAAAAATAACTTCCTGTGATAACTTACATATATTTTAAATTCTGAAACTTAATGCCTTAATCACAAAAACACAGTCACATTAGTTGTAGCTAAAAATTATCATTATCAAGCATTTTTTTAAAACCATACAGTATATTTACTAATGTACTATATCTTTTCATTAAGTGAACATTCTTGGTAGACTTTTTAAGCCCATAAATTAAATAATAAAAGCTTTTGAAAAAAAAGTTTCTTTTGACAAATGAAATGAAATTGAAATTTAGGCTAGAAATCCATCACTACGATGGCTGAACAATGTTAAATCACTATCACGGTCTTCGCTTATTTCCTGGGTAGCAAATTCTTTTCTCACTGGACATTTTCAACCAAATCAACAAAAATATTGTTTTCATGGTAGGACTTTTTCCATGATGGCACAGAACTCAGAGAGCATTCAGAGAAGTTCCAAAGTAAGGTTCTTTTTTCCCCTATGGCATTACAGTTTACATTTTGAACAGCTGATGATCTATGCCTTCATGATTGCCAGAAAGTGGCCAGTAATTCACTTTGGGATTTGTACAGGCTGAACCAAAGGAGTGAAACAAAACTAATGAAAAGACAAAGTGAAATCATGCATCTTGGTCTGAGTATTTTATCTACTGTTCGACGAGTGCCTGAGTGTATGTGTTTCGGGTGTGTTTTGTGTGCAACCATGGAGTATAGTTTTACTAGCACTGAGAACACGTCAATGGAATGGCAAAACCCACTTGGCAGGGGCTTTAGTAATCAACAGGAAAACTTACCTTTCACAGGGCTGTTTGGTAACCTGATGGTCAACTCACTGAACTGCAAATTGTCCTACACCACTTCCTTCCTCTTACTTGGTGTTCACACATCCTTGCCTACCCTATACTAACAAACAGATGAAAAATAACTGAATCGATGTTAATATGAAGAGTTGCAATCAAGCGAGTTAAACAGACAGCTAGGTGGCTTACATAATGTGGACTGTTCGTCACACCCCGCACTGCACCACACTCTCTGATCCTCCAGCACCACGCGACTGGTCCCACCATTGCTCAAGGTGCAGGGAAGGTGCTTCTCTGTTTTGGCATCTATGTCATGGAATGAACTTTCCCTGATGAGTCAAATGACTAAAATCCTGCCTCTTTCCGAAGAACTGGGATTAGCACTTCCGAGGATTATACTGTTATTAAAAAAAATGTATTACTTGTCAACAGAATTTTTTAGAATGATAGTATTCTTAGCCGGGTTCTATTGAAACAGTATCAGAATGTATTCACTGATGAGACTTCGAAGCATTTATGTCACTCACTCTGGTAGAGGGCGTCTGCCAAATGCCGTAAATGTAAATGACTGTCAGACAATTCAGCATCCTATCTGTAAAATCCATGCTTACGGATGGTTACAAGATAATGTAGATACACACAAATAATGTAGCAAACTGCAAGCTACAATTGTTTGTGTGTATATGGGGGGGATCAAATGTGCCAAACAACCCTGTTCATTAAGATAAAAAAAATTGATATTTATACTACATTGCAATTACATGAAGAGTCAAAAAGATCTTGCTACAAAGTGGGAAAAAAATTAATTCCAAGTGGTCTCCCTCATACAAAGAACATAAAAAAATTAATCCTGTAAATTGTACCATATTTATAATATCACATTGCAAAAAAAAAAGTTACCTGAAACTGTTTTATTAGGAAATAATTTTCAACGAGGCGACCAAACAGCACAAAACTGCGCAACTTAGTGATTCGAACAAATTTGCAGTCATGGCTGCTTCATGGGGTTTAAAACATAACAATGCCTATATTTACAGTATAATTTCCAGAACATGATAAAAGCTGAAACAGTTGCCTATTACGGCATTGAGAGAGGGCACACAGACCCACTTCCATGTGGTAAGCAACCTAGGAACCTTGGGAAGAAGGGCTTCACTGCTGACCTGGAAGCAGTTTGAGCAGAGCAAGCACAGCATTAGATTAGGAAGATTCCGGCTTGAAGCGCGGTGCCCCATTTCCCAGATCGACGCCGTGGCTCCTCCCGTGTTCGTGTTTACTGGGCTGCTCCTTCCCGTTGCTGTGCTCGCGCTGGTACATGCGCTCCTTGCTTCGGCTTTGCTCCCTCTTCCTGGCCCTGTCCTCCCCGTCGGCCCTGCCTCTGCTCCTGCTCCTCTTGCTGCTGGGCCACTCCGGCCTCTGCCTGGTGGTCCCGTCCTTGCTCCTGCTGCGGCTGCGCTTAGTGCCTCGGTTCCGGCTGCGGTGCCTCCCCTCCCGGATCCCGCTAAGCTTCTTGGCCCGGCGCTTGTCCTTGTGCCGCTTGTCATCACGCTCCTCCCTGTGCTTCCTGTCCTCTGCCTCTCCCTTGGCCCTCCTGTCTCGCGATCTCTCTCGGTCCCGCTCGGTGGGCCTGCCTTTCTCGTGGTCTCGGCCCTTCCTCCGGCTCCTGTTGCCATCGCCCTCCCTTTCCAAGCGTTCAGTCTTTTTGTCCCGGCTGGCACTACGACTCCGCCGGTGGTCCCTCCCTCTGCCCCCATGTAGTCCTGAGACTTGTTCCGGGCTGTGGGAGTGCCGTCGGTCCTTGGCTGCCCTGTCCCGTTCAGCTCTGTCCCTGTCCATCCCCTCCCTCTCTTTCCTCTGTCGCTCCCTCTCCCTCTCTAGCTGCCAGTCGAAACTGCTGGATCCGTGACCATCTCGGTGGTGGCTCTTGCTCCTTGACCTTTTGGGAGATCTCCGAGGGGTGGGCGTTCTCCTGGGAGACCTGTGGGACAAGAGGAGGGTCAATCTTTATTCAGAATAGTGCAGTCTGTGGGCTACATGGCCCAGATCTAACATCGCTCACCTAGAACGTCTGTGATCCATGTACCTTTCCGTCTCTGTCTCCTCTTTACCATCCTTAATGAGGACCTTCCTTGGCCTGCTCTTCATTTGCTGGTCTATCATCTTCTGAACGGGCACTGGGATGCGTGGGAAAAGGGTGGAAAACCACTCCAGCTTGGTGAGGAAAGATCGCAGCATCTCCCCTATGGTCATGACACAGCCACCTCCTGCTTTCACGTCCAGCTCCTACCAGAATGAGAATTTGGGGGGGGGGGGTGGTCGCCAGACCTTTACCAAAATGCCCAATGCCAAACCAACTCAACATCACATGCACAATTACCCTCAAAGCAATACTACCTCCCATAGCTAAGACTGTATGGTCAAAATTGAATTGTGATGACCAAGTACCCAATGTTCACCTCTGTGTTCATCAAGCTTAACACTGAACAAAGCAGCCGCCCTTTAAACATTAGATCAAAGAAACAGACGCTGTGAGTAAGGAACACATCTGTGGCAAACAAATACAGCTCAATTGGACAGTTTAATGCTCTCCCCTTCAGGACAATGTTTACACCATAGGTTCCTGTGTAATTAAAACAGGAACGCAACAATAAACCAAGTGCCTTTAGTGCAGTGAGGTGTTTATTGGTTACAAATGAAAACAGTACCCCAATGACTTAAAACTCATCACTAGAGCATCTCCTTCCCTACTGTGCCATCTCACTGCACAGGGCAACTTAGCCACTGTCAGGTTTGAACCTATAGCACAAACACATAGGAAGAGGAAGCTTTAAAATCCAGCTACAGAGAAAACAGAGCTGAAGGGTAGGGAAAAAAACGGCCGTTTCCACTCACACACGCAAACCAACAGTGTTGAGATACAATCCCCAATTCACCTGCTGGACAAAGGAGATCTAAAGGAGAAAACACTGAAATTAGCCAATTGGAAGGAAGTAAAATGGCACATTAGAACATTCTTTTAATTGCCAAACACAGCACAAACAGGCAATCCATAAAAATGCACTTACTTGCTACTGAATACATTTTAAAGACCTGCCATTGCCTTCTCTTTAGCTGGCATTCAATGAACACCATACATAGAAGCCACAGGGCTGGGGTAAGTCGAGAATGAAACTTTGGTTCACATAGGGAACTTGTATTCAAGTTATTCATTTAATCAGATGAGATCAGTTGCACAAATATTAAATTACACACTAATAATGTGGGCCAACCAAACTGCAGGCAAACACTTGGATTTTTCTTTTACTTAAAAACCATTTCCTCTTAGAACAAACAGCAAACATAGTTTACTATTGAATACATGCCGATTTAGAATAAAGGGTAATTCAGTGAAAGTTATGCATACCGCAGCAGTCTGAGTCTAGATCAATATTATGCTGCTGCGGATTCAATTAAGCCCGTCTCGTTGTGGAGCGACATGCTCGTTCACATCCGCCTGCTGAGAAAACCTAGATTTGTGTGCTCCTGCTCTCTTTACCCATCACCCGTCTGTACAGACGTGCAGCTACAAGTTCACAGGCGGCTGAGAAAATGAGAAACTACAACAAGGGCTTTTCTTAGCAAATGCTTAATTAGAGAGACGTGTAGCTACAAGTTCACATCACCCAAGTTTTATATCAAAGCTTTAAATCTCAATTTTTGGATACCAGAGCTTTAAAACGCATTTAGTAAGGTTGGACCTATTTCTGGCCATTTATTTAATTTTCAATTGAACTTTCAATTTGACCACTCTCATACTTGGGTTTATCCAAATACAGAGGTGGACAGTTCAGGTCCAGAAACTAAAAATCCAGAGACCAAAATCCACCAAGATTTTATTTCAACCAGCTGGTTTAGTATAAAGAGTTACAGTCACCAAGTACTCAACGTGTTGGTTGAAACCAAATCTTTGTCTGGATTTTTATTTTCTGTACCTTAACTATCCACCTCCGTATAATTGTATTACCTTCTAATCGGTCATCAGTTTTTAAAATCACTGAAGTGGTCAAATCTCAAATTAAAGCTGAACGTTTGAAGACAAAACAAGTATGGAATTGACACTGATGGAAGGTGTAAGAGGGTGAATTGAGTTATAAGTTTGATTTGTGAAAGTGACCCCAATGCTGCTGAGCGCTATGCAAGTTATTGCATAGTATTTCAAAACAGCTACTTAATTTTATTAAACCTGGCTGCACAAACACATAAAAAAACAATGTGTGTCATATTAAAATGAACTAAATGTAACACTTATACATACCTTGACAAACCAGCTAGAGCAGTGACCTATCTTTCATTGGACCGTCAGGACATTTTAAAAGGACAATTAAGCCAAATGAAGGCAAAGGTGAAAATTAGTTGTTTGCATCACAATGCGACGTAGTACAAACAGCATTTTATTTTACAGGGATAATTAAACCATGCATTATGCTGCAAATTTATATTTGAAATTGGTGAATAACAAAAAAAAAAATATATATATATATTACCCTTGCCGACATACCTCCTCATCATCAAGAAACCCATCAAACCAGTCCAGAAGGTCCGAAGGAGGCTGGGTGTATCTGTTCCAAAATCACATTTTATTTATTTATTTTTTTAAATAATGAGCAATAATAATCTCTAGCTGCATCATTGCATCAGGTCATCAGCAAAATACAGATGGGCTCTTCAACAGCTTTAACATCTACAGAGGACTACACCAAAGCATACCTTATGTACATGAAGCCGAGGGCTCGGATGTAGGGGGAGTCCGTGTGCGTGATCAGTCCCATCACCTGCTTGCGTGTCAGTTTCAGAGTGAACAGCTTGTACAGCAGACAGAAGGCTGTAGAGACAATGCCTCCTGTCCCAACTCCACGGACCTGCAGGGGGGTGGGTTTAAAGATTCAAGGTTTTGGAACCTTGGGTGAGGAAGTGCGAAACAGACATCTGGGCCGTTAAATCAACCAATCAAAGGGCATTACTCACTGATCCTGGGTGGCATTTAATGCACATGAAAAAGGCCGACACAGGAAGGCACATACTTCTACTTACCCCCCCGCACATGCCTGTCTGCCCTGCTGTCTTCCGACTCCCTTTCTCCCAGGGTTCAACATGAGTCACCTGATGGGAAGGGGGAGGGACCACAGGCATTCAGGACTTTAAGAAAGAGGGCCAGAAGACTCATTACAGCACAACTGTTGAAACTTCATTTACGTCAACATGTACTACTGACCTGTTTAAACAGCGCGACAGGAATAAACTTGAGTGCACTGATTCTGATAACCTGACTGATGCCATCATAATATACCCGCTATTCGGCACAGTATCGCCTCAAGATAAGCTTTCAGAAAGACATCTGTGCTGCTGTTACATCGTAGCTTTAAAATGCTTATCATTTAGTATTACTTAGTTCATTCTCTGCCCTCATCTCACAGCCAGGTATTGACACCTGTTAAGACTAGTATGTTAACTGTAGGCAGAATAGTGTACCAACTCTTACAAAATTGGAATGTCGACTGGAATATAGACTCGTGTCATACAATTTCCCCTAAAAGAAATGGTGAAATTTCAAGACTCCTCCTAAAACGCTTAAAACAACTTCTTGGTTTTCTACCAGACCATGTCCCTAGCTGAAACTCCATCAGAATTTGTAACAGGTTTGAAATGTTTTTTTGGACAGCTAAGCCAGGTTTCCTTACTCACTAGTCAAATAAGGCCAAGTGAGAAAAAGCAAATGTACTAATATCAATACAACCAACTGTCACGAAACAAATACATCTCATCATCAAAAGTTTTCAAAACACCACAACAACAATGTATCAGTTCATAATGACAAAGTCTACAACTCACAGCTGATGGTCAGATTTGAAAGTCACCATGCCTTAAATCTAGCTTTGCCAAACTCTTCATGTAAAAGAACCATTAGAGTTGGGTTGGTTGGCTAGGCACAAAAGATGAATACGTCACATCAAAGCAACAAGCAAACAGGATCGTTGCCAAGAAACGAGCAAGCAGGATCACTACGATCCCTTTCACCCTGTCCCACTGCATTGTCAAGTTTCTATTCTGGGTTGAGACTCCAATCATTAAAACGTAGCAGCCCTCATGAACGCCTGACAGTATTGACTTGCAAGTAAAACACATAAATACTACTGCTTATATCTTGTACTTCACATTTATTTAAGCTTATTGTCTATTCATTGATTACTGTCTATATGTTTCACGCTACAGTGTTCCATTTGTACCGTTTATATTACATGCTACTGCAAACACCATGCCAAGACAAATTCCTTGTCAGTGTCAACTTAGGCTGCCAAAAAACCTTTGATTCATTCATTCATTCGCTCGCTCGTTATATTGAACGTAGGAGCGTACCGTCAGCTGTTTACCGCATTTACAGGAGATGTGGTGAAGATGAGTAGAGACGGCTGGAAATCCTCTCCCATCGTTAGACCCTATCCCTGTTTAAGATGCTGCTGATGCATCTTCATCACAGATTGGCTATACTGTAGTAGCACGTTTAAACCGGGGTCGTTAAGTAACTAACGTTTAAATCTATGTATAAAAGAGTCTGTCGAGTAGGTAAATAGTAATACATACTGTTATCTGGCACTTATTTTCAAAAAATCTCTATCTGTGGGCAAACTGGTTCCCATACTGAATTTGGGAGATTTTAAAAATTTTTAACCAGCGGCTGGCTGCCATGGCTATCGAGCCCTGTGTGGACTTTAGCTTAAATCCCTGTTGAGCCGGCCAGCTAACTACGTTGGCTGTAGGGTATCGCCCAGCTATCATGTTAGCTTTTATTTTGGTGAGGTTATTATAGTGCTAGAATTTACCTTAAAGTAGATTTCGTCCACGACTTCATGGTAGGTTTTCAGCTCATACAGCTGGACCTTGAAGTAAGGAGACGACAGGACGTTGGTCAGGATCATCGGGTTTAGGTTCATTGTCTTCTCGTTGCCCCAAAGCGGTAACACGTTACCCTGCTTTCCCGCAGCGGGCTTGTTCACGGCCTGCTGCTGCTGGGGCTGCTGGCTGCCCACCAGCGCCGTATTGTTGGCCATGATTCCGTATCCTACGTCGGGGACGCTTGTATCGTTTTAGGCTAAGCGACCCTCAGTTTAAATCCATTACAAAAACTCCACTTCCGCTTGGGTGCGGGGAGCAGAAATGCCGATGAAGCTGTGTGTCAGGTAACCACGAACAGAGTTTAATTCATAGTAAAAGAAAAAAAAATACCCCTCAGGACCACCAGAAAAACAGAAACAGAAACACACGGGGGAGCCAAGATGGCGACACTGCAAAGGCAAAACAGAACCGCATTTACGCGTAACCCCCATCGGCCAATGAGCGATCAGCGGCGGCGCCTCACCGCTGCCACCCGCAGCCCGTGAAACTGCGCAGGGACAGACGGCCATTTTGGCTCTTAACTTGTCAAATTCTGATATCTTCAGTGCTTTCAGTCAGATTTGTGGGTGCCGACAAATTTATCATCTTCCAAGTTCTAATGAAATTAGTTTCTGGGACATACATATAGCTGCATCTAACGTGCTTTAGCAATACGTACTTTGTTTTATATACAATCTGCCAAAGCAATAAATATTTTTACATAAGGCACACTTGTAGCGCACAGACAGAGCAAACTCTTAACATTTCTGTTATTTTATGTGTGGTAGAAGTGTACATTGAGGAGCGCATTTCAGTGTACAGCTAAATACACATACATATAAAGCGGCTTTGCTTGCACCGATTGGCTTTGTTTTATAGTGCGCTCGTTTTCCCGACTATCCTGAGTTGGGCGGGCTTGGGTATTCTTAGGTGTAATATACGCAGTGCGTTAAACTTTTTCGGATGTAGCAAAAAAGTTGGGGTGCCCTATATTTGGCAAACTGCATTTAAAGGTCAACTTTACTAGCTAAACTGAGAACCCGTCGATCATGTTTTCTCCATCACTGGGCACGCAGAGGCATAACTTCGTCGTGGATTTCGTGCAACAGCACAAGCCGAAGAAGGTATCGCATGATTTCCTTAGCTTGCTGCTGGTGGTGTATCAACCATTTTGTGGGCTTTTATCCTTGGTTCAGAGCATTTCTTGGTCCCAGTTTACTTAACCGCTGAGTATTCCCTTTCCCCGCAGGTCATTGATCTCGGGTGCGCTGACTGCAGGCTATTAAGGAGACTCAGATTTCTGCGTGATGTTGAGTTTCTGGTCGGAGTGGACATTAAAAGTTCTTCAATGAAGAAGAAAATGTACTGTTTACAATTAAATCCTTATATATTATTGCCACGAAGCACTTTACGAACATTACGCCAGAGGGCGCGATTTGCGCGGAATGCTGAAAATAATATTCCCTGAACCTTTTACTAATGTGTGGATAATGTTACTGTTGTGGCTTTCATATTCACCAGGCATAGCTTAGCTCCCTTTCCAGGTGAATATTTGCAGCCAGGAAATAAGCCATTAACTATTGAGCTGTATGAAGGGTCTGTTACAGAAGAGGATCCACACACCAAGGGATTTGATCTGGCAACGTGCATTGAGCTGTAAGTAATGTACCATTTTGCATTGGAAAAGTAGGTAATCCATCTGTTGTATATGATAGCATATATTCTCTTCTTGGACTTTCCCTTCTCACTACCTCCATCTTCAACACAGCATTGAACACCTTCAGCTTGCTGAAGTGGGCAGGTTCTCTGAGGTTCTGTTTGGCTACATGGAGCCCACAGCTGTGATTGTCAGCACCCCAAATGCAGACTTTAACTGCCTGTTACCAGGAAGGCCCAAGTTAAGGATCCCTGATCACAAGTTCGAGTGGACACAGGTGGAATTTCGCAGCTGGTGAGTCGTGACTGTTTCAGTAGTAGTGGTGTATCCAATGTTAACATTATATAATAGTTTGCATCAAACTTTATTGCTGATCTCTGGATGTTTGGTCCAGGAACTACGACAATTTGCTGTTGATCTAGGTCTTCCTGTCCCTCTGTAGGGCTTCTGGCATATGTGGAGCCTACGGCTATACAGTTGAGTTCACTGGAGTAGGGAAAGTTGCCAATGGTCCGGAAAGCTCTGGATTTTGTTCCCAGATTGGTGTATTTAATAGGGAATCATCTCGCAGTAACGTTCCCCCTGGGAATGAGGTCACCGAGGATGTGCCAGTATACAATCTGGTAAGGAGATCCACATAGAGATGGTGACCAGTTAAGCAGTCCTGCGAGGTCATGTGGTTGATTTCCAAAACGGAGGCCATTGAATTGTATTGCTGTAGTTTTTTTAAAGCAGTTAATTGATTTGAATTGTGAAGGAAATACAGACGCTCCTCTACTTACAAACTTTTGACTTACAAACTTTCAGACATACAAACGAAGAGAACTGTAAGACCAAATTGTGTTCATTGGACTCCCGCTTCCTGTCCACAACATCAATTTTGTTTTCTGCGCCCCGATTCCACCTAGTATGACTTCTGGCCTCTACTCCCGCCGCACAGCAGCGTAGCGTGCGTACTCCCAGCACCCTAGTTATTTGTACTTGCGTATACCCTTAAAATTATATTAAATAATGACTTACGAACATTTCAAGTTACGAACGGCCTTTTGGAACGTAACTTGTTTGTAAGTAGAGGAGTGTTTGTACAGACTTGGAACTGTAAGTAATTGCATACCTGTCTCTCCTTTTCCAGCTCTATAGAATGGAGTATCCGAGTCTGCAAAATAATAATATCTTTCAGAGGACCTTAGTGAATGAGGTCCTTTATTGGGCAGAGCATCTCAGGTCTCAGTGGGCAGCCTCTCAGAGGGGCATCGGCCCAGAACAGACCCAGGACAGCCAAGGCCTGGGTGCCGCAGCTGACGGGGAACAGCCCTTCCTGCATGGGGGCTTCCTCTGCATTCCTCTCTCCAGTTTTATGTCTTGCCCCCGGGTGCGAGAACTCAGTGGCAGCATGGTGCACCTGAGGGACCTCCTACTGGGCGACCCACAGGTGAGGCTGATCGCCAACTCTGTGGCATTGGATATGGGCGAGGAAGACCCGGCTGTCCAGAGCGAAGAGCCGACTGATGCTTGGGACAGTGGGCGCCATGGAAACGTGCCAGTCGAGGAAGGAATCGAGGATGATTGGGGCGCACAAGTCTGCAAACCCTGAGAGGCATGAGCCGTGGGATTTGAATGTCTAATAAAGAGTACAATCCCGTTCTGTTGGCTTTTTTCATTTCATAATGATTCAGAATAATCCAGTACCTAATCAACGGAGTAGAGGCTTTCAGATACGTGCTTTTAACAATAATGAGAAGATCAAAATTGGTGAGATGTCTGGGACTGCGCTGATGGGTGGAGTGAGCTGTGACTCATACCATCTCAAAACTCTTTTCATAATTTGATCTTCACAACAAAAGGGGAAAATCCATAACGTAGGATACAGTGCTCCGTTTTGGGACAGCTTGTGGGAGGACACATTGGCGGAATGTATTGGTGTCGGTAATGATTGAAAGCTGTAAAGTCAGCTACAGGAGTAGAAGTTCCTTTGAGATTTTCCTGCAGTGACATCAGTTCTTCCATAATCATGCTGATGACTCCAAAAGTCATGAGTCTGGAGACTGCAGGCTGCTCCGTCTGGAGTAGCATGACGTAATATTAGAAAGATTCAATCGCCTGTATGCACCCCCTACCTGTCAGATGAAAATGCTATTAAGTTCAATAAAATGAAATTACTTTGTAAAGTTATATTTGAAAATGCAGCTTGTGTTAGTCATATCAATATGTAACAATAATTCACTGTAAATGTAGTCACTATTTTTAAAATTTATCTTGACGATTGACTGGTTAGGCTCTCTCACCTTGCACCCTCAGGGAGAAAAGCCTAGAGTTGCTTATGACCGCTAGTAAAATGCGTACAAATTCTCTCCCATAAAAGACACAGAACAATAACTCTTCAAACTTGTAAATGAAAGGATATACTCATTAACTGTTTGATATTTATTGTAATGAACAGTACACGGTACATGTATAATTATATATAGTGCAATAGAAAACCAACAGTGGTTCAAAAGGCATTTCTGACGTCAAGGATACAGCTCATCGATGAACAGGTCAACTGAACAACACCTTATAGCAATAAACAACGTACAGTTTTGAGCATGATGCGTCGGCCAGAGAAAGCCAGGTCCGACATTGTAATCTGTACTGGAGGCCTCATAATGGTGCAGTTAAAGTTTAGTGTATGGAAAATGAAGCAGGTGTTATGAGTCACTTCACAAGGTAATGCTTTCTCTGATAAAGCATGAGACGTGGGGTTCTGATCATTTAAAGCAGTGGTTCTCAATTGGCTTAGTCTCAGGACCCACATTCTCCCTTGGTTATTTAGTCCGTCCATCTGTCCATCCATCCATCCATCCATCTTCTATACCCGCTTGTACCGTGCAGGGTCATGGGGATCCAGAGCCTATCCCGTAAGCTACAGACGTGAAGCAGGGAATAAACCAGGATGAGGCGCCAACCCATTGCAGGTCATACACACCATTCACTCACACCATTCACATCAATGGGGAATTTCATACTGGACTCCAATTCTTTCCAGCATGTTTTTGAACTGCGGGGGAAAACCAGAAACTCAAACCCCAGGCGCAGAAGTGTGAGGCAACCGATCTGGGTTATTAAGCCACGGCAAAATATGCAATATAAATTTAAGCCGTAAAATTTTCTGTCTGGGGGGGGGGGGGGCGTGTGCTGGTTGTTAAACTTGCCCACCGGGAGGGGGGCTTGAGGCAATTAAATCTGCCAAACCAAAGAAAAAGAAAAAAAAATTAAGCATGCAATCCACAACCCATCGAACATGGTCCCACAACCCAGCAGTTGAGAAATGGTGATTTGATGGTTTTTAAGTGTTTTACTATTTTAAAATAAATAGAAATAAGCAAATCAATAATGTACAGTTCCAGTTTTTACTACAAAAGTCAGGTTACATTTCATTATCTCTGTGTTATGACACCGATTCACTCAAGAAATGCTTTTCTCAGTGAAGCCTGGCCTCCCGTTAGCATTGCTTGGGGCTTCACTCGTGCGCAGAGATGAATCGGTTGAGGTTGAGCACCACACTGAGGCTGACGCACCACAGGCCAATAGAAGAATTCCATCATAAAGCCTCATTGATGAAAGAGGCTCCTCCGGAAGGCAGTACTTCATCGGATATGGCCTCAAGAAACTTTGGATACTGATGTTTCAAAATCCATACTTGGGGCAATTCATGTACACTTTCAATCACTCCTTTGATCCACAGGAGAATGAGTTCTAGCAGTGTCACTGACATAATCCCGCCCACTGTGGCTTTTGAAGTGTAATTGCTCTCATAACCCCTTTTGTTTGCCAATCTCAAAGCTCCTACACCTGTTGGAAATACAGAACTGAACTGAACTCTTACAAGAATATCGAGGTCACGGGACGTGTCAGTTACACTTTAAGGAGTGGCTAGTAAGCACCTAGTACCACACATACACACACATGCTAGTACCACAGGCGCACGACCATAATCAACAGAAATGAGAGCAGCTACTGGAGGGAAGCCTGAATCACAAGCAAAAATGTGGTTATGGAACAGCCACCCAGCTTGCTTTTAATTCTGAGAAAAACCCTTCTATAGCTGTACAATCCTCCTTGGATTGGCGTCTGTTTGCTTAGAACCAACCTGAAGTATTTTCATTTATGACTTCCTGTCATCCCATCAACACTGTCTGTTGTGTTCCAGCCCGCAGGATCAGGGCCCGGTGAAGGTTTTGCGTCAGATCTGCTCTCTACCGCCAAGCTCCTGGTCGTCTGACTTGCTCAGAAGTTGCACAAATGCTGTGCAGCAAGACACTGGTGGAAATAACAAGAGCATCTGGAGATCTCCGGATCAATGTTTACCCAACAGAAATGTTGATGTGCAAACGGGGGACCAAGAAAGGGCAGAATTTTGTCCATTTTCGGGGAGTTTGGGGTGTTTCGCACTTCACGTTGAAACTGTAAGAATGGCACAGAGCATCACACTGTACTCTAACAAACATCCAAAAATCTGGCTCTTCTGGCGAGCTGGCCTAGCTTTTTAAAATATCTGACTTCAATTGACCTCCCCTCCTCCGACACCAGATGGCGCTGTCACTCTCAGGCTCTCTCTGCATGAAGCTGCACAGACCTCATTTGTATTTTGGTAAATGTGGTTCTTGGGATGAAGTTTGTGCAGGTTTTTGTCCCTCCACCTTCTGGCGTTCTGTGCTGCTAGCGCTTTATGACCACCTGTTCATATGCGCCTGCACCAACCCTGACACCAGAAAAAAAAAACAAGTTAATACACAAAAATCTTGTATATGGTACAAATAAATCAGCAATTGCTATGTAATACAGCACTGTGCCTGTGGATTCATCCATCTTCCCAACTGCTTATGCAGTTTAGGGTCAAGGTGAACCTGGAGCCTATCCCAGGAAGTACAGGGCCCAATACCAGACTAATGTTATATAAGCAATTCAGAGACAACCACATGTCTTTGGACTGCAGGAGAAAACCAGGGTATCCAGAGGAGACCGACACAAACATGAGATGGATATGCAGACTCCACACACACAGAGCTGCGATCTGGGGTCACACTCCCCATGCCAACTGGTGTGAGGCCACAGTGTCGCTTGAGAGTTTATCAGAATCTTACAGGAGAGCAGCTCTGTTCAGGTCTCACCTGGTGGGGAGGTGATGGCTACCGAAGGCTGTGCTCCCCCCAGGGCCAACAAATAAGCGAAGACCTTCCTCTGAAAGAGCAACACATCCCACCCATTACACTTCAGACGGCATCACCCAGCGAGTGCCGAGAAAATGCAAAACCAACCAGTTCTTTCAACGCTTGTGTATCTAAGAAAAATCTACAATTTGGTGATTAATTGTCATTGTTGACACAACAACGAAACGTGTTCTTTGCATTTAACCCATATGTGACATAGCAGGGGGCAGCTAATTCAGCGCCCGGGGAGCAGTGCTTGGGGGGGGGGGTACCTTGCTCAGGGTAGCTCAGTGGTGCCTTGCTGGTCAGGGATTCGAACCAGCAATCTTTCAATTATAAGTGCGCGTCCCTAACCATTAAGCCACCACTGCCCAGTGAATGTTGAGGCGCAGGGAACCAGACATGCCAGACCTCGCCTATTAAAAACAGCAGCCTTTTCATTTACAATCGACTGCACTGTTGTACAACCATTAATGTGCATTTATGCACAATAGAAAAAAATATTAATTATTGCTTCCTATTTTCTATAAGTGATATGTTTCATATACTACAGCATATACTCATCAGATTGTAGTTTGCCTTGCATTGCCTGTACTGCTTATTGTACGTACTTAACCATTTACTAGGCTGTTTACAATAGCAAGGAAGTGAACCAAAAAAAACTGACCACTAAGTGCATTATGTACCGTGTAGGACTTGTGTTACTGTGCGATTTTACCCTGTTCATATATGGTTATGGAGGTTCATGTCTGTTTACATTCTGTACCTTCTGCACTGGAGTCCAATAAGCCAGGAGTGAAATCCTGACTCTGTAGGATCTTCTCCACAACGTCATCAGCATCCACCCTGGTGGCATCCACGCGTTTCAGCTGCGACTCGACGGAGTCCTGCTTGACAGGGATCCTGTGGGGAAATGCCCGACGGTCACTGGGACTGCTCTGACAGAAATTTGGCCAAAGACCTCGCTAGGTCCCACAAACAAACATCAATCCATTCTTTTCCCATAACCGTTTACCCCAGGAAGCAGAGAGAACATGGCAGAGGACATCCGGATTGAGATGCCAGTCCACTGCGGGGCAAACACTCACAGAGATACCAATTAACATAACTGCATGTATTTGGACTGAAATTTGGAGGACCTGGAGGGGGGTAACATGCAAAGTCCAGACACACACAGAGCTGAGGGCCGGAATGGAACCTATAACCCTGGAGGTGTGAGACCACAGTGCCACCTGCAGAGTCACCACGTTGGCATCAAGTGTGGGGTCCAGGTGAGCTTGGAGCTCAAGGCAGGGTACACCCCGGACACAGTGAGCAGGATGGCAGGACGTACAATAATTATAAACAGTGGCAGCAAAATTAAGGCTGGACTGAAGACAGTACAGTAACGTGTGATCAATTTAATACAGAATGTACTGTACACATGGCTGTACCTACCACTGAGGACACCGAGGTGAAGTCCTCAGTATTTTTTCCTGCAGCTCCATTAACCACGATGTACTACAGGGCACAGCCAGGAAGGGCTAGAACTTCTGACCTCAGTATTTTTTTAAATCCTGGCTACAGCTCTGCAAGTATAATACACTGCTGGCTCCAACTGTTACATCTTTCAGGTCACTTAACTCCCATAGAAGGTAAGGAGGCCCCCCTGTGACCCCCCTGCGACCCCCCTGCGGCCCTGACAGGGATGCCTTACTTAGACGAGAGGATGGGGCTGTCAGGGTCTTCCAGCACGGCGGCGCAAGCGGCCCCCGTGGCACTAGAGGGCGCTGTTCTGGACTCGCGGTCCTCGCTGGGCTCCGGGATGCTGCCGATGCCGGTGGAGGTGCTGCTTACCGAGGTGTTTCTCCGGTGGGAGGAGTCGGAGAGGCTGGAGGAGCGGGAGTGCCCGGTGCTGTACCCTGCGGGACGCCATCGCACACGCACACGCACACGCACACGCACACGCACACGCACACGTTACAGACGGGAATGATAAAAACAGAACTTAAATAATCTGATACCCAAGCTGCCCTTGTCAGGTGAGCCTTCTTTTCGATTGACCATCCATTCATTTCTATGGCAAAGACCCGAATCCCAGTGATGACGAATATAACCTCCACCCAGCCCTAACCTTAACCATAAGTAGCCAAACAAAATACAAGTCTTTTTGCATTTTTATTGTTTGATTGCAGCACAGATTTGGTCCCCACAATGTAATGTATGCCTGGACCCCACACACACACACACACACACACACACACACACACACACGTAGATATACATGCACGCTCGCATATGTGAGTCCCAGCTGTGCCATGCTGCTGCATGATGTCCCAAAACCTCTAGAGCCCCCCCCCCCCCCCCGGCTCGCCCCCCCCACTCCCCACATTGTGTATGAGCAGTGGGCTATGGGGGGTGCTGGAGAGAAGCACGCTGTCATCCATGATG